TTACCCATGCAGTCAAGGTTACAAGTGAATTAAACAGAGTGGATAGGGATGAGTTCTAATTACTCGTGAATGGTCGATTGCCAAAGTGAGGCTAGTTGAATACCATCTTTTCTGTTAAGGCTGTTCTGATTGACCCATATATACATAGCTTCTGCTGTTGGTCTTTATGCGTTATAGACCCTTTCTGAAGTATTTTGGTGCCATCAAAGTTGATTCTGTATCCTGTTTCTAACGCAAGCAACACTTTGGGCGGATATATTCTCAGATTTCTTGAGATCAACCGAGGTTTTGGGGACATGTTTCGAACACCGCTTGTGTTCCTTCAACCTCAGATTCAACTGTTTAAATGTTTCACTGACAGAAACTGCATTGCAGTCACAATAACTGGTCTCATAGACAACGTCCTATTGTTCTTCCTTAGGAAGCCTATCTTTAACTTTCACTAACGCCGATCTTATTGTTTCACTGGCATGAAAGTAAACTCTTATGCTTGTTTAGAATGCTGATTTCTTCTCATGTTTCTTCACAGTACGAACTGAAGATGGTGTTCTTGCTTTTTCACTGTATACACTTTAATTTTGTTTTTCATTTTTGATGATGGTCTTTATAAACTGTCGGATAATTGTTGGCCTTAATTATCGAGAGTATTAAGTTCAATTTAGTCTTCCCTCAGTTTATTCTGTTGTGAGATCATGACTCCAGTTAGCTGGATTTTTTTGCTGCTGTGACCCTCGTAGAGGAAGCACGAGACGAACAATAACCCAAATATCTCTTAGAATGTGTTGACTTCCGAAATACATTATGGTTTAACTTATGATTGATTTTGTTCAATCAAACAATCGAGAAACACAAGTTTTCGGTCAGTTGATTCTATCTCTTCGGTTAGTGTTACACTTCCCGTTATGCTATTTATATTACAAAATATTTATAAACCATGACAAATATGTCATCTACATACCGCAAGCAAACTTTAGGTCGATTTATACATATCGTAAGGAATGTTTGAATAAATTCACTATAATCGGAGAAACTGGCGAACCCATTGCTACACCTTTCTGTCTGTAAAGATCTCGGAATAAGAATAAAACGGATCGTAAACACGGTTCCAAACACGTAGTGAATTTGATTTTGATTATTATTACCCTGAAGAACTTTAGACAAGATAACTGAACGAAATGTTGGAATTATCTGAAATTTCAGTCGCGGAGTTTATTTCAAATATAATTTTCACAAATAAGTTTTCCTATTATTTATAAAATCCTATACTGCACAACTGTAACCTTATTTACATAATTTTGTAAAGATAACAATTTAATGAATAAATAATGAGTGAATAATCTGACAGCTTCCTATGCATATAAGCATCTTTCTCATCAGGTACTAAATGAAATTCGTGGTATATCACCTTATCTGAGTACATATCATAATAAAAAATATCTACTCTTCTTGTGCTAATTGAGATACGACTAGATATCGGCAAACGGGACTTAAGCAATGATACAACAACAGGGCAGCTTATCTTTTCCTTGTAGTCCAGCCCAGCTAACTAAAACGATACGTTCATGGTTCATAGGAAGATTGTATCCACAAGCAGTCCCAAACGAGTGAATTAACAAGCATTTAATCCAAGTGTAATTTCTACAGTAATAAAAATTTTCTCTGCGATGTTTACTGATAAACACACTAAAAGAGTATACTAACCAATGAGGTGTAGTGTCCATCCAAATAGAAAATACGAACTGAATGTAATAAGAGGTGCTTTTAGCGCGAAAGTATGAAGTTAATATTTACAAAATTAAGAGTATTACTAAGCGATTTCTGGAGACCAAGCATCCTCAACAATTTCCTATAATTTGAAAATACTCAACGAAATGTATGTTTCCGTCGTTTATTAAAACTTGAATAACAAAATTAACTATGAGCTCCTTCAAGTGATATTTGATTATTAAAATGTTTTTTTCATTTATTAAGATGAATATTAGCTAAGAAGTATAATTTTTTAATGAGAATTCTTTTCTCCAGACACTTCTTTACTTTATCGACTTTTTAAAAATCGATAAAACACGACTTCTCATTTGTTCTAATGTATCTATTATCGATATCCAGTGTTTTTTCTCCAAACTTCTGCAAAATAATCATTAACTATAAAATTCTATTTCTTTTTTGTGAAATGGAAATGTTCGGTAGACGTTATAGAGAATACTAATCTGTCATTGCTCTGAAATTTATTACAACTCGCGACTATTAACTAGCACCCGAAAAACATTTAATGAAATGCAACAGAAAGTTACCTCTCCCATTTGATCTTTGGATACGAGTATACCCATTTCCGGAACATCTATTAGTTTGATTTGCACTCCAGGGAAAATAGCTCCAACATGATAAGCATCTACATCTTCAAACATTGTACTGGATACCAAACCAAGTGTTTCCGTTGATCCGTATACTTCGATAACCTAGCCGGTGTTTAAAACATTACTATTCGAGTTGTTACTCATAAACAGAATGATATTCATTACGTTGTGTATACAACGTATGATTACTTGTATTTAATCCTGTGTAAAATAGTAACTCATCTAAGTTGAATACCTTTGGTAAAAATATTAATGCTAACTTCTAATTGTAGTTCGCTCCGTTTTACTTTATGGCTGTGAAACATGGCCAGTGAGAGTAGAAGATATTCGTAGGTTAATGGTTTTCGATCATAGGTATCTTCGAAGCATTGCTCGTATATCGTGGGACACCCGAGTGAGCAACGCTGTTATTAGGAAACGGGCACTAGGTAAGAATGGCAGATCAATCGATGAAGTATTGAAACTTCACCAGTTGAGGTGGTTGGGACATGTGTTGCGTATGCCCAACCACCGGCTGCCTCGTCGAGCCTTGTTTTGTAGTGTAGGAATAGGTTGGAAGAAAGTTTGGTCGGCCAAACCAAAACATGGCAGAAATCCATGAAGTCATTGACTAGTGGACTGAGCCATGTCAGTAATTGTCGACTACCTGGTTGGGGTCCGCGAGATGATAATAATCGATGGTTAGAGACCTTGAATGACATGGCTCAAAATCGTTCGCAATGGCGCAGGTGCATTTATTCTCTGTGTTCTCTCAAATCCTAATCTTCTGGATTCTTCAACCCCTCTAGTTTCGACTCTCTAAACTTATCTCACTGAATCATACTTCTTGAATAGTATCTTCTAATCCTAACCTCTCCGATTATTTCTAATTCCCTTACTACCTTTTCTACAATTGGATTTGAATTGACGATTACTTCTCTGTGCTGATGTGGTATGACAACATGAACTGATGTACTTATGTACAAAGTTCTACGTTGCATTTGACTGACTGACTGACTAATTGTTTAGAATCTCCAGAAACGTTAAAATATACTCATACAGTATTCGGTAACGATCCAAAATTACGTATATTTCCATAAAGTATTAATTAGAGTACATTTTGGGCAGCTGGAGTACCTGTTTTTGATTAGTATATCAGCAAGAGACGACGGTTTACACTCAGGTAGAATCTTAAATCTATAAAATCATACCTGTCCTTTTTCTAAACTCTAAATTCATACATGGATGATGGGAAGTATTTTAAATCTGTTTTTGCATTCGTTGAACTTGAAACACACGGATAATGTAACTTTGAAAATTTAATTATTATTAAGTTTTATTATATAAATTAAATCTCTATTGTCAAGGGCAATTTTACATTGGTTTTCGAGAGAACCACGTGTTAGCATTTCGACATGAACAGTTTGGCTCAGTCCCGTGGTGCAACCAAACAAGTACCTGATACCCTGACGGACCATTCACACCATTTATATACACTAGTACATATATAGTAATTATTTCCGATTCATGATCGTGTCAATCAATATGCACTGCATGAATAGGCCCATCCCGCTTACATGACTGTCAAACTCATTATTATTAGCAATGGTGATAGGCAATACAGCACCCCAATGACAAAAGCCCTCGGAACTGATGCAAAACAACCACCAGTATCAATGAAATCGGTCGCGCTGCTAACCATATTTGTATATGGACTGTTAGCGATGCTTGCCAAGGCAATGCCAAGCCATTCACAATGTTCACACTGAAACTCTGTTCCTATAGGAAACCTTCAGCTCTATATGGCAGCATATCATATGATGTACACATATGTGGCTTAGGATAGCAGGAGATGCAACCCAGCTTGACGCGAACAGGCCTAGACACTCCTAATACTCTTTGTCTCATGTCCGGTAATGATTTTTTTGCAGTTCCGAAATTTCCATTCTTCAACCATATGAGACCTGAGTTAGGGATAGTATCTCTTTGTAAATTTTAATGCTAGTTCTAAATTGCATAATTTAATAATGTCCCTACTTACTTTAGACTTGTCAGTAGTATCTGTTTCAGATTTTATGAGTTCTGCCTTTTTAATAGTTTACTTCTGTATTATCCTTAGTCTGAGTCCTGGATATGTGATAAAACTTATCACACCAATATTTATCGAGTAATATCATTAGTGTGAGTCGTTAGAAACTGAAGATAGCTTATGAAATAAACAAATCCTCAATATTCTGTTATGACCGTCAGTAACAGCTATTAAATGGTCGATTTACTGAATTGATTTTGATCTGTTGTGAATACAACCTTACAAAGTATTTAAATGGATTCTTATTGATTTAAGCAATTATAACTACTTGGTCTCTTGATTGGTACATGCCGAACGTTTATCGGTCCCATTCAAACAATATAAATTGTCTGTACTAGTTGAGTGTTGATGCTGTATGTATAAATAAGCATAAAAACAGGAATTTTCTGACAAAAAAAATTTTTTCAAAGATCAAACTTACAGGACAGCTCAAAACGGCTCTGATGAAGAATAGAACATCTCTATCTATTGGAGAGCTACCTGAAATTATAGCTTGCACTCGGCCACCAAGTAACTCCCGAAACTCTCGAAAAAACAAGAAGTCTATTATTCCATTTCGTCTATATATTCCACTAAAACAAGTAATGATTAGAAAAGTTATTCTATTTAAGGCTTAAAAAATATGTGGAACATAAAGTTACTTCAGCTGAAACAAACAGAATGAAAACTTAAGTATTAAATTTTTTAGCGATTAAAGTATAATTTTCACAAATAATGTATTCTATATGCTCGGAGCCCGATTTTTGTCAAACTGTTCGTTCAAATATAGACGAATATTGGTATAGATTAATTCTTCCTTTCATTTTGTTTAATTTACATGATAAATACAAAAGGGATTGCATTCACACACACATACACTAACATATATAATCATACTATTCACTTTTTTAGTTTTGCTTATTTACTTACTGTTTCTGTTCTTCCATTCTCTTATTTATTTCGTATTGACATATTTTCCAAATTATTGGTTTAGAGTGCAACCTTTCAGAAAATTTCATATATATTCGAACAAGTAATCTTGGAACAGAACAGAAAAACGATGGCTTAAAATCTCTAAGATCATCAAATAATGACTCAATGCCATCAGTGAGAAAACCTATTCGACCACCAACGAACAAGGCCAACACCTAATTAAAAGAACATACAATGAATTCAAGCTGAATATCAATTTAATTGTGAGATGAAGTCAGTAAAAATAAAGTATTTGAAAAAAATTAATCGTAGTTCTTTTTAGAGAATATCTCAGTTACAGAACGAAGATTAGTTATTTGTAACTACAATAATGAACGAAAAGCAAATTTCGTAATGAATAATTTTTACACTTAGTATATATAAATAAATATATATATATATATATATATATATATATATATATATATATATTATTTATACGAATATAAATTATTCGTTGAAAACTTACCATCGTTAGCTGTTCCATTACATGTGATAAGGGCAGGAATGAAACATGTGTCAAATCTTCTTTTGAAAAATGCTGAAACGGAATAAAACATGCCCGTAGAAAAACAAGTGCTAACAAACAAAGACTGCAACACAACCTGAGATAATGATACTTACTGTCTCCCATCAGATACAATGAGTATTTTTTTGCAAGGAAAAAGCTTTAAGACAAATCAGATCGAACCTGTTAAACCCACACATTATTTGTAAGAACTACAAAATATTGATATTGTTGATGTAAAGGCCAATAGTCTTCTAAGTCATCTTTTTAAAAATGTAAAGCATTCGAGAAGATTTTTGTTGTGCAGGAAATGTAATGTACTAACATTTAAATCTAAAGTCACGGAAAAATCTTTTATTCTTCATCCAAGTAGACTAAATCAACAGGTAATATTTTGTGTTTGACTAGTAATTTTTAGTAAGCATGAAACATGGTAACTCCACCTAGAGCCCCTATGGGGCTACTGAAGGTCCCAAGCCCGGATAGGAGAGTAGGGTTAGGCTTGGAGTTGGCCAACCCACTCCGTAGAAAACTAACTCGCTAAAAAACGCTGAACAGAAAAAAAATTCCAACCATTTTAACTCTGTCCTGGGACTTAGAAGGTCTTCTTTCAGAAGAATTATGACGTCTCATGATGAAAGCCGAATCCTTCATAATTCACGAGGCCAATGCCGCTTGTGGCAATCAGAAAAACCATTCTTATAGGTACATGGAATGTTCGGACTATGTAGGAAACCAAAAGACTATTGCAAGTTGCTGCAGAGGTGAAAAAATACAACCTGGAGGTGCTTGGAATCGGTGAAACGCACTGGAAGCAAGTTAGACAACTAAGACTTGCTTCAGGAGAGCTGCTGTTATACTCTAGTTATTAAGAAGAAAATGCCTGATACACATGGAGTCGCAATGATGGTGTCCAAAGAAGCACAAAAGGCACTGATAGGATGATAATCTCATGGACCCAGGATCATCAAAGCATCCTTCAAAACAAAGAAAGAGGACATCACAGTGAATGTAATCCAATGTTATACACCTACCAACGACTACAATGACGACGATAAAGATCAATTCTACGAGAAGCTGGAGTCAATCGATGACGGATGCTCACCAAAGGATTTGATCATTCTAGTGGGAGACCTAAATGCCAAGGCTGGCATGGACAACATTAGATATGAAGACATCATGGGACGACATGGACTTGTAGAAAGGAATGATAATGGTAAGAGATTTGCAAACCTATGTGCCTTCAACAAACTGGTCATCAGCGGCACAATATTCCCATACAAACGTATACACAAACCTACATGGATTTCAGCGGATCACACTACTCAGAACCACATCGACCATATCTGTATCAATGAAAAGTTCAGTTGGACCACGGAGATCGTAAGAACCAAGAGAGGAGCTGATGTAACCTGAGACCACCTCATGCTGGTCGCCAAAACGAAACTGAAACTCAAAAAGCACTAGAAAACAAGGCGGACAGCATAAAAACTGTTTAATATGGCCTTTCTTTGGAAAACTGACAAACTTAACGGATCCAGAGTCGCTCCAAACAATAGGTTCCAGACTCTTCACAGTCTACTTAGTGAAATGGAAACAACCATGGAGAGCAATTGGAAAGAGATCAAAGAGGTAATCACTTCAATATGTCAGGAGATTCTGGCACACAAAAAGTACAATAACAAGGAATAGAACTCTGTTGGTACTCTTAAAAAAATTGAAGAAAGGAGGAACAAGAAGGCTGCAATCAACATCAGTCAAACACAAGCTGATAGAGTCAAGGCACAAGCTGAATACATAGCAACAAACAAGCAAGTGAAGAAGAGCATCAGATTCGACAAGCATAAATATGTGGACAATCTAGCAATGACGGCGGAAAATGATACAAAAAAGGAAACTTGGAACAATTGTACGATACAACAAAAAAGCTCGCTGGAAACTACCGTAAACCAGAACAACCATTGAATAGCAAGGAAGGCAATGTAATCAGCAATAATGAAGAACAGGAAAACAGATGGGTAGAGCACTTTAAGAAACTCTTGAATTAACCAGCCCCACTGAACCCTCTCAATATCGAAACAGCACCCACAGACTTGCCATTCAATGTTGGCCCACCAACAACTGCAGAGATTAGCATGGTCATCAGACAAATAAACAGCGACAAAGCAGCGGGACCACACAACATCCCAGCAGACGTTGAAGCAACTGCAGAAATGCTGCGTATTCTCATCAAAAAGATCATGGAGGAAGAACAAGTACCGACAGACTGGAAACAAGGATACCTGATCAAAATACCAAAGAAAGGCGATCTCAGCATGTGTGAGAACTGCGGAGGCAGCACTCTTCTCTCAGTGTCAGGCAAATTCTTCAACGGTGTGTTGTTAAACAGAATGAGGAACCTCGTAGACGTCCAACTTCGAGATCAACTGGCTGGATTCCGTAAGGTTCGATCGTGTTTCGACCAAAATGCAACATTATGGATTTGTAGAGAATCCTCTTCTATGAAGAAAAAGCGATTGGTTTAATAGAAACATTCCTTATTATAACCAATTGTATCAGTGACTTTTCAACTATACTTTTTGTCAATCACACATTGTACGCGCAAACTTTCCGTTTGTATTGCTGACATTACAGACCATTGTTGCACAATCAATTGAATAGAACTCTCCACTGTACATCAACTTCATTGACTACGAGAAAGCATTTGAAAGCGTGAACAGGACAACACTATGGAGGCTTCTTCGACACCACAGCGTGCCTCAGCAGATAGTCAAAATCATACGGAATTCTTATGATGGAATAAACTGCAAAATCGTGCATGTACAACAGCAGATGCAGACCGGTATCAGGCAAGCTTGTTTACTCTTACCCTTTCTCTTTCTCCTGGTGATCAACTTGGTTGAGATGTCAACATCTGGAGGGAAGCACTGTATACAGTGGACAGCCAGGATTCTGCTGGACGATTTGGACTATTCAAATGAACTAGTTTTTCTATCACATATGCAACAACAAATGCAGGAGAAGACGACCAGTGTGGCAGCAGCCGCAGGCCTCAATGTACAAATAGGGAGAAGGATGATTCTCCGGTACATAAGAACGTGCACCAACCAAATCACTCTTGATAGCGATGCCTTGGAGGACGTAAAATCCTTTACATATCTGAGCATCATCACCGACAAGCGAAGTGGATCTGATAAAGATGTCAAGGCATGGTTTGGAAAAGCAAGGGCTGCATTTCTACGATTGAACAACATCTGGAACTCAAAGCAAATGTCAACAAACACCGAAGTCAGAGTTTTCAACACAAATGTCAAGGCAGTTCTACTGTATGGGAGGAAACTTACAAAACTAACAAAGTCACCATCCAGAAGATTCAAATGTCTATTAACTGTTGTCTACGCTACGGATCTGGTGGCAAGACATTATCAGCAACAACTCACTGTGGGAGCGAACAGATCAGATTCTAGTGAAGGAAGAAATCAGGAAGAAGCGCTTGAAGTGGATAGGACATTGAGGAAAGCACCCAACTGCGTCACAAGACAAACCCGAAGTTGGAAACCTCAAAGTTAAAGGAAAAGAGAAAGGACAAAGAATATATTACTCTGAGAAGTGGAGACAGATATGAAAAGAATGAACAAAAATTGGATAGAACTGGATAGGGAAACCCAGGACAGAGTAGGTGGGAGAATACTGTAGAATGGTAATTTGAAAACCTCAAGGTGAAAGAAATGCACCAGTCCATTTTTTTGGAGTGAGAAAGACAGTCACTAAAGTAGGCTTAAATGTTAGTCTTGTATTTTGATGAAATACTTGGTGAAACTTCATGAAAATATGTGTTCCATTTTGAAAGAAAACTTTAAATATCATAGCTTATTCATCCACACACTAGTAGCAACTGCCTTGAAATGCTTTATTCCATTTCAGTGATTTCATGTAAGTAAATGCGTGAAACAGGTCAAAAGTTCATAAATACAAATACTCAATAATTTCATTACAATTTTATTGGTAATCTTTTGATGCAAATTTATCATAATTCTTGTCTACAAAGTTAAGACACGTCTCATTTGAATCAATAGAGAAAAATGACCCAGTTAAATAGGATGTAGTAGTTCCAACAAACGTCACTCTTCAAGAAGACAAGTTAGTTAATTTAACGAATAGTGAATCCCTACATACTTAACTTTCACTACTAATTGAATGATGCTTTAGTTTCGCTTTGAGGAAAACTGGATATTTCATTAGTTTTGTTGTAACATGTTATAATACAAACACACTACTGAATATTTTTTTTCACGTGTACATACTGTTCATAACTAAGTAATAGTGTGTAAAATACTCGGACAGTAGTCAAGTATGAAGACTATTGGAAAGCAATAGCGAAAACCTTATTCTAAAGCTTACAAAATATAATTGCTTGAAATTCATAAAACAAAGATCAAGTAAAAACAGGAAATGTTTCTGATCATTTGAAAATTTCATTTAGACACCTAGTCTTTTGCTTTCACTAAAATTAATAACTTAACTGTCTGAAACATTTTTAATTATCTTATTTACTGTTTTATGCTGTAACGACTATCGAAGGTAGAAGATCTACATAACTCTATACTTAAAAGTTACTTTAAATTTATTTTCCGTGTTCCTGAAAGCTCCGTTACCGTATATGAAATCATAGGCAGGTGTTATTTTAACCTAAATTACTGTATGTTTTGGTCCGGGGTTCGTAACTAATTTTACCCTGTAGAAAGATTTGTCATTCCATTAGAAATAAAGTTAAAAGAATGAAAACTAGTTAATTCATTTTAAGACTATCTGAAACTCCTTAACTTCCAAAATTATTTTAGTTGAAGATAACAATGACTGAAAATAGTTTGAATTTCGTTTCCATCCAAACTCACAAAGCTACGAATTCTACCAATGAAAAACAAAAAAGAGTTAATCTTTCATACAATAATCTTAGAAAAATAACTGTGTTTCATTAACTAGTAATGATAAAAAGAATAAATAGCATCACACAAAAATGTCTATATAAATTTTATGAATATGTATATCGATCTCAAAATATACAATCTTGGATTATATTAGGTATATTATTACTAGAATTTATAATTTTGCACTAACATTTTCCTCTGCCAAACTAACTGTTAGCTTTATGGCATTTAAATAAGCCTCATTTGTTATCATAGCTCCTTTAGGTAAACCTAGAAAAGAAAGTAAATGAGAAAGAAAAATAATCAAACTTCATAAATTATTGTGGTGGAGTTTCGTTCTCTTAGCTGGAAGTTTTGTTCAAAAGAATAATGAATGCTCCATAACCAAAACATCCAGCTTACAGTACGAAACTCCACCAGAAAGATTTAATTGAATTCGTTGATTTAGTTTTTTTCAATTTTAAATATTGAAAGCATAAGCTACTGCGGAAATTTGTAAGATCATTTCTTCACTATTTATATAATTTTGAGTATTAAGGAGAATAGATTTTCCAAACGACTACATACTCATAGTTAGTTTAAAATGGTAATCATTCTTCTTAAAAACGACTGTACAATAAAAACTCGCTTGACAGTAAACTTGACACGAAATTTCATAGGTCTGGTCTTTTGCCGTTATCAGTGGAGTCAGGAACCTATATCTGATAGTGGATTATTACCATGCCATATCACCAGTTGTCTGAATGTCAAGTTTCGAACTAGGGAATTCTAACTCTGATTCTGTCATATTGTTTGAATCATTGAAAGGCGTCACTTCTCGTAAATCACGAAAATAAAACCAAACTTAATTTTCTATATTTCTCCAATTAACCTATCATAGACATGACTTCACACTGTGACATATTAAGGACATTTAAAAATTAGGGCAATAACATAAAATTTCCATAAACAATGCATTGCATTTCAAAACTTAATACGACAAATGTTTCAGCGCTATTGTTACTGTGAAGAGTTGTGAGAGCATAATTAATTGAAAATCCTTCATTCAAAGTCTAAATAGCTAAGAGCTTTCAGGTGCGAATTATGATGATGGGGAAAAAAGCTTTAATACCTTAATACAGTATTTGCTTCCTTAATAGTTTAGCTCTCATAATTTTTGCCACATTAATTGAAAGGAACGTAAAGGCAGATTGTCCACTTTCTGGTGACAACAATAAATCTTTAAAGATTCATCCTACAAAACTTCTAAATGGTACGTATGATAATCAAAGCAAGATTACGTTTGACAGTAAGAGAAATTTTTGTCACAGCACACTAAGATTTGTCGAAAATAATCTACGGTTATTAACACTATAAAACGTAGCGCATAGGAGACTGCAACTCCGTACAGCACCGTTAAAAAAACAATCGTTTGAATAAGGAGTTTTGGGTTGAGAAACTATTGATCACATCGTAGTAGTTGCAACAAATTACTCGCTTTGGCACTACACAACGTAAGATTAGAGAAATGATGAGACATTGGGTGTGGCCAGTGCGCAAGTATAACTCAAAAATCTAGTAGCGATTCAAATTAATGAATCCTCCTGTAGAACAATTAGGGTTACTGCTGGTCCCAAAAGAGCACAAAATAGAAAGCATGGGATAATTATACAATACGATAAAGAAGCTCACTGGAAAGTATGATAAACCACAACGATCAATCAAGTACAAGGGAGGATAGCAATCACCGACATTCAAGAACAGCGAAACAAGTTGGTGGAGCGATTGGAACAGCTCCTGAATAGACCAGGCTCAATGAACCCACCAAGAATCGAAGCAGCAACAACAAACCTCTCATCGATGTTGACCCACTAACAATTCAAGAAATCAGCATGACCCTCAGGCTCATCAACAGTGACAAAGCAGCAGGATCAGGCAACATAAAAGCTACGGCATTGAAAGCAGACATAGCGGTAAATGCAAATATAATCTACGCTCTGTTCAGCAAGATTTGGGAGGGAGAACAAGTACCGATAGACTGGAAGGAAGAACATTTGATCAAGACCTAAAAGAAAGGAGATCTCAGCAAATGCGATAACTACAGAAACGTTGCTCTACCATCAATACCAACAAGAGTTTTCAATAGTGTAGTGTGTACAAATACGTCGAGCCGACAGGCCTTGTCCCAGCTTTTGGATTCCATCAGGACCGATCGAGTGCCGACTGAATCGCGAAACTGAGAAACATTGTGAAACAATCAGTTGATTGGAAATCACCACTATCTATCAACTCCCTTGACTACGACAAGGCGTTTGACAGCGTCGAGAGGATGACATTATGGATGAGAAGATGTTCAACATCATACGGAACTCTGATGATGGACTAAACTGCGAAATCGTGCATGCAGGGAAACACACAGACTCATTCCAACTGAAGACAAGTGTCAGACTAGGTTGCTTACACCCACCCTTTCTCCTTTTCTTGGTGATCAACTGGATTATGAACACGTTAACGTGGGATACAGTGGACAGATAGGATGCAGCTGGACGATCTACATCTCGCAGATGATCTGGCTCTTCTATCCCACATACAACAACAAATGCAGGTGAAGATAACCAGTGTAGCTGCAGCCTTTGTAGCAAGAGACTCGAACATACACGAGGGAGAAAGTAAGATCCCTAGTTACAACACAACATACACCAACAGCATCACACTTGATGTAGAAGCTTTGGAAGGTGTAGAAACGTTTACATTCATGGGCAGCATCACTGATAAACAAGGTGGATCTGACGCAGATGCGAATGCACAGATTGGCAAAGCAAGGGCAGTATTTCTGCAACTGAAGAACATCTGGAACTCAAAACAACTATCAACCATCAGCAACGTCACACTTTGCAACACAAACGTCAAGACAGTCCCATTGTTCCGAATGGAAACTTGGAGAACTGAGAAAATCATCATCCAACAGATTTCAGGTATTCATAAACAGTGTTCTACGCAAGATACTTCGCATTTGCTGGCCAGACACCATCAGCAAAAACCCACTGTGAGAGAGAACAAGCTAGATCCCAGCAGATGAAGAGATTAGGAATAAGCACTGGAGGTGGGTAGTACAGACATTCAGGAAAGCACGTGACTGCGTTTTGAGGTGGGCTCCAACTTGGTATCCTTAATCTCAAAGAGAAAGTGGCAGACCGAAGAAAACATGAAGGTGACATTTGGAGACAGACGTGAACAGAACGAATCGGAATCGGTTAGTACTGGGAAGGCGAGCCCCGGACCGAGTTGGGTCGTCTGAGAATGATGGTCATGGGCCTACATTCTATGAGAAGGAGTAACATGAGTAACAAGTACAACAACAGAATATTTTGATTTTCGGGTTGACGGGAGAGTAACTTTTCCTCTTCTCTCAGTAGTTTTTTACCATATCTCATTTGAATTAGTTTTCAACTGTTTATATCCCTTAATTAGTTTATGATGCATTATATTACTTGGCTGAGTTAAGATGTAATACATTATTGTAGTTGTTATGATAGATAATTTACAGCTACGTAAAATTTAAAGGAAAATAAAAGTATTTCAATTTATAATAGTTGGCACTTTTAGTTTCACTCTAATAAATTTTCCTATTGTTTTTCATACCTAAAATGTCATTTGATTCTCACAAACATGTAAATTGTCATATTCCATTTTTATAAATAAATTTACCTAATGATCCACTAGTATATATTATCATGAATAGATCGTTGGCATCCGGCACCTAAAAGTAAAATACAGAAACAGGAGTAAAACTTTCAAGACATTCGTCAATATATACTGGTTTCACTTCATTTGCTAAAACCATATTTCGCAAAAGAATAATGACCAACGCTTGGTTGGATAATGACTATATTTTTGATTGAAAAAACTCTAAATACTTCAGTACTTATAGTGAAACCAGTAGTTAAAATTTAAGATGGTGGAGATTATTTGTAGCTCAGGTGGATGATTGTGGTCCTGTTGTTTGGTTCTCTGGGCTGGATGTTTTGGTTGTGGAGCTTTCATTGTTCTTCTGAACAACATCATCAGCACAAACGTTTGATCGAAGTTCTGTGTCACAAGAAATACCATCTCAAGGAATGGATCTCTGTTGATACTCTTGCAAAAATTGAAGAAAGGAGAAACAAGAAAGCAGCAATCAATGTCAGCCGAACAAGAGCGGAGAAAGTTACCGCACAAGCTGCATACACAAAAGCAAACAGGGAAGTGAAGAAGAGCATAAGAGCTGACAAAAGAAAATATGTGGAATATCTAGCAATGACGGCGGAAATGGCTGCAAGAGAAGGAAATATGAGACAATTGTACGAAACAACAAAGAAGCTTGCCGGATACTATCGTAAAGCAGAACGACCAGTGAAAACGAGGGAAGGCAAAGTAATCAGCAACATTGAAGAACAGTGGAATAGGTGGGTAGAGCACTTTAAGCAGCTATTGAATCGACCAGCCCCACTGAACACACCCAACATCGACGCAGCATCCACGGACCTCCCAATTAATATTGGCGCACCTACAATTGAGGAGATCAGTATGGCCATCAGACAAATCAAGAGCGGCAAAGCAGCGGGACCAGACAACATTCCAGCAGAGGTAGTGAAAGCAGATGTAGAAGCAACTGCGAAAATATTTCACAACCCCTTCAAGATTCGGGATGAGGAACAAGTACCATCACACTGGAAAGAAGGATACCTCATCAAAATACCAAACAAAGGCGATCTCAGCAAGTGTGAGAACTACGGAGGCATCACTCTTCTTTCAATACCAGGCAAAGTCTTCAACAGGGTATTGTTAAGCAGAATGAAGGACTTCGTAGACGCCCAACTTCAAGATCAACAGGCCGGATTTCATAAGGATCGACCGTGTACTGACCAAATTGCTACATTAAGGATCATTGTGGAACAATCAATTGAATGGAACTCACCACTCTACATCAACTTCATCGACTACGAGAAAGCATTCGATAGCGTGGATAGGAAAACACTGTGGAGGATTCTTCGAAACTACGGTGTGTCTGAGAAAATAGTCAACATCATACGGAATTCTTATGATGGATTCAACTGCAAAATCGTGCACGGAGGTCAGCTGACAGACTCTTTCGATGTGAAGACCGGTGACAGGCAAGGTTGCTTACTCTCACCCTTTCTCCCTCTCCTGGTGATCGACTGGATTATGAAGACGTCGACATCTGGAGGGAAGCACGGTATTCAGTGGACAGCTAGGACGCAGCTGGACGATCTGGACTTCGCAGATGACCTGGCTCTTCTATCGCACACTCAACAATAAATGCAAGAGAAGACGACCAGTGTAGCAGCAGCCTCTGCAGCAGTAGGTCTCAACATACATAAAGGAAAAAGCAAAATTCTCCGATGCAACACAACATGCACCAACCAAATCATTCTTGATGGAGATGTCTTGGAGGACGTTAACACCTTTACATATCTTATCAGCATCATCGACGAGAAAGGTGGATCCGATGCAGATGTGAGGGCACGGATTGGCAAAGCAAGGGCTGCATTTCTACAGTTGAAAAATATCTGGAACTCCAAACAACTTTCAACCGAAACCAAAATCAGGATTTTCAATACGAATGTCAAGACAGTTCTACTCTATGGAGCGGAAACTTGGAGAACTACCAAAGCCATCATCCAGAAGATACAAGTGTTTATTAACAACTGCCTACGCAAAATACTTCGGATTCGTTGGCCAGACACTATCAGCAACAACGTACTGTGGGAGAGAACAAACCAGATTCCAGTGGAGGAGGAAATCAGGAAGAAGCGGTGGAAGTGGATAGGACACACATTGCGGAAAGCACCTAACTGCGCCACGAGACAAGCCCTCACATGGAACCCTCAAGGCAAAAGGAAAAGAGGAAGGCCAAGGAACACATTACGCCGAGAAATAGAGAAAGATATGAGAAGAATGAACAAACATTGGACGGAACTGGAGAGCGAAGCCCAGGACAGAGTTGGTTGGAGAAAACTGGTGAGCTGCCTATGCTCCGTTGGGGATAACAGGCGTAATTAAGTAAGTAAGAAGCATTCGAATTTCTCCACATTTGACCTGTAGCTTGTTCTGCTAACCTCGATCTTGATTGGTCACTGTTGACCTTAAACCTGTCGTTGTTTGCACCTTTGTTTTGATTGTATCCCCCTTTTGATCTGTTTCTTGATCCTATGTCGCCTATGATTTTTCTGATTGATTGATAAATTGGGTCAATGTTGATGTGTTTGTTGATTGTTGATTGACCTGAGTGTCAGGCTTCTAAAAATTTCCTAGTATTCTTTTTCCTCCCCCTACCCAGTATTTCCACATTGTTCCAGTTGAATGTGTGTCCATAATTTTCGGTGTGTATTAATAAAAGCGAAGAATCGTGGCTTTGACTGCTAATTGGTGCTCACGTGAACGAAGCTGAAGGGGCCGTCCACTTTGTCCTATGTAGTGTTTTTCACAATCTGAGCAATTTATTTTGTAGACGATGTTCGGTTTTACTTCATTTGTCATTTTATCCCTTGGTCTACATAGGACTGATTGAAGTGATTCTGTTGGTTTGTGTGCCACACCTATTCCAAATGGTTTCAGTAGTCGTGATGTATGCTCCGATGTCTTTTATGTATGGTAGGATGATCCGTTTATTGGTTCCTGTACTTGATTTCGCTTCTGTTGATGATTTCGGTTAATGTCTTTTGATGAAGTTGCGTGGATAGCCGTTCTTTTGGAAGATAGTCACAATGTGTTTGTCCTAGTTTTTTAGTGTTTCGTATGTGCTGCAGTGTGTCTTCGCTCTCTTGAACAAAGTTTGTATGCAGTTGATTTTGTAGGTTCTTGGGTTGTTGCTATCGTAGTCAAGAATTACGTCTATGTGTTGGCTTCTTAAATACTTGGGTTTCCAGTTTTCCTGTGTTAGTTCTGGTGATTAGTACATCCAGGAATGATAGACTGTTGTTTGATTCCTTTTCCATCGTGAATTTAATATCATCGAAGACGTTGTTGATCTGATTGTAGATGTTCTCCAGCTCATTCCTTTTGATAATGACGGATGTGTCGTCTACATAGCGAACCCACATTTTTGGCTTGGTCACTGGTAAAATCGACGCTTCTAGTCTCTGCATTACCGCTTCCGCGATGAGTCCTGATATTGATGATCCCATTGGTGTTCCTTTTGTTTGTTCGTAGACTCTGTTGTTGAATTGAATATACGTTGTTAAGCATAGATCGATGAATGAATTTGAATCCCCTTTAGCTTATACAAGAATTGTGTGGCAGATTTAATGGAGAAGTTGGATCCATCCACCGGATGTTTTAATAACCTTGAAATTTCTCTTGATAAGTTGTAGATCGGGGTTCCGGGGAGGGATAAAATAGGGTGTAGTGGAATGTTGGGTTCGTGGAGTTTCTGCCTACCGTAGAATCGTGGAATTACTGGTTCACTGGATTTCATTCTCCATTGATCATGTTTTGATATTTGTCCTGCTTTGACAAGCCTGTTTAGAGTCCTTGAGATTTGGTTGTCCAACTTTTTTATTGGGTTTGTGTCGATTGGTTTATATACGCTTCTGTCCTGAAGCTGTTCCTCGGCTTTTTTGATATATTCTTCCTTGTCAATAATTACTGTCGTGCGTCCTTTGTCCGCTGGAACTATGACTATATCTTCCCTGGCTTTGAGTTTCTTTAGAGCTTTTCGTTGTTGTGCTGTTGTCTCTCTTCCATCCAGTTGGTAGTACAATGGTTTGCCTTATTTCTTGTTGAGTTTCTTCACTTATTCCTGCCGTTTTGAGTGACGATTCTAGTGCAGCGAAGAATTCGAGTTTTGAAGCATCCTTCTTGTTACAGTTTAATCCTTTTTGGAGCTGTTGTTCCTGTGTTGTCGTTAGGTGTTGTTTCGAGAGGTTGACCACTCAATTGGTTGCGTTTTCTTCTGTGGGTGGTTTTGAAATCTTGATTAGGTTTTCTCTGAGGATGCTTCTTCTTTGTTCTCTGTGTCGTCTGCTTGACATTTTGATCGCCGTTGTCAATATTGTTAAGTGTTCTTATGTGAGCATTCTCTCCAGTTTTCGTTTTGTTCATCCATGTTGCGTTGGTATTTGTGGATTCTGTAGTGTGCATCGGTGATCATTAGTTGTACCATATATCTTCCACTTTGTTCCGCTATTCGCCATATCATTGGGCAGTTGATTGGTGGTCTGTAACTGACACTTGTTGGCAAAACATGCTGACGAAGACATTCGTGGGGAAAATATGGTTGTTCTCGAGTGGAAGTCTGCCTTTTGGCTAAATTTTCCCATTTTCGAACAACAAGAAGCGTGTCACGCTCATATGATTTTGAGATGGTGGAGAATATTTGTAGCTCAGGTGGATGATTGTGGTGTTTGGTTCTCTGAGTTGGATGTTTTGGTTGTGGAGCAGAAATCATGAACTTGAATGATATCTCAATCAAGTTAGCTTTTGAAAAAAATCTAATTATTATGTATCATAAAATTTTCCTAATATAATCATTTAATTATTGTAGTATTCTGGCTGTCATCCTTTGAAATGTGAATAAACACATAATTTGTGGTTGAACTTGTTTATTTCAAGATGAGTGTATGGGTCAGTAGAACTCAAATATTGCAAATCAAAAAACGATTATTCGCTTATCAACTCAACTTTCATCTGAGTATAAGTATGGATCCATAGTACTTACAAGAGACTGAATTGAAAGATTGTTTTAGGCAATATAGTAAATTATAATTTTACAAACCCTTGTCGTTTATAGAAGTCTTTGGTCATATTACTTTGGTATTAATCGTCTATCCTAAAGAGGATTAAGTTAATCATTAAAACATATATGTTAGTTTCATCACCCTATAGAATCATATCGCCCAAAAACAATGTAAATTTAACCTCTTTCTATGTACTTCAGCACTTTATATATATAGCTATAGCTATAGTTTAGTTGTCTATTGAAAACATATTACTTGTGTATCCCTAAATGAATATTGAGTTGAAAAAAAATTGAATAAAAAATTCATGGACTACAGAACTATATCTACATTTTTTGAAACAATGCCGCAATTACTTGGACATTTTTCACAGAATAGTTTATCTCCTGAAGGAAAACTGATCTAGTTTATTCAGAATGAACTTCTTAAACCTAGATTATATTGTAATTAATATGTTTACATAGTAGCTACAACATGTAGAGGAATTGACAGAAGATTGAAAGTGGAGTTTTCAGTATATTTTTTGGTCTATAGGTTAGGCGTTCGCGCCCAAGACCGAATGTCCTGGGTTCGAATCCTGTGAGTTTTGAATGCGCATTATTGATGAGTCCCATACCAGGACGAAACGGCGTTTCAGTGATTCCAGATTTCTAATGGGTGTCTAACAATAAGTGATTGATGATTTTAATGTGAAAAAACACTGATCACCATAACTCTGATTGAAAATTCATATTGTGTCATTTAGTGCTAATAATCCATAAAACTTCTAAACAAACTAAAAAAAATTTAATGAATATAATAATTCTTTCTCAATTTATTCAGCTAACACAAGTATTTTTAAACATATCGATATTTAAAAGTACGGTTTTTATAAAGACAATCAGTTGATAATTCGGGTGTCTTACTTTTTCCGGTAGACGATTAGAACGCCCTTTTTCCTGAAATGTAGGCAAATATAGGTTTTTTCATTATGGTATCAAAATAAAAGTGTGAACGCAATGGGCAAAAACACGAACTGTTTAGATAAATTAAAGGTTCAGCAGTAAGGACTGTGTAGGCCACTTTCATCATGTTTTTCCAATGAATTGAAAACGTCCGTTCATCAATGATGAATTATAATATATTTACTCCTATAGTAATATATTTGAGTAAAGTTAGGTATTTGTCTTCTTACGAAAATTTTCAGAAGTTTGGCTAATTATCCAACTACCAACCAACACTTTCTAAAGACCCCTATCAAAAAGTGGTAAATATCACCATATTTATTTAAGACGTTACTGAAGTTTCATAATGTACCATTTATGAGGAATATTATTTTTTACCTAAGTAATTTTTACTGTAACTACTGTAACAACCAGATCAGAGAACGAAACACCACCATAATCATCCACCTGAGCTACAAGTTTTATCCACCATCTCAAAATACCATTAAAAACATTGATAATTATAGCTCAATGGACCAAACAACATGTTTTACCTTATGTAAATTAAACCTGAAATTTTTTACCAGACAGTTCCTTGTCATTGTTGTTGTAAGAACATGACGCTATTAAATTTATGTAAGTCGCGAAATCTTGCTGGAAACTGACCTCTCATGAAGAATAAATAAACATGTACTCTTTTTTCTTGTATTTGACCTACTTTAGCTGAGTAAGCTCGATTAGTTTTAGTGAACACAAAGATCTTTGATTCATTCAAAAAGCAAATTTCTTCATTTTAATACAAAGTTAAAATGGCTGGGTAGCATACTTAAGTGTAACGTGTCATTGGTGAATATACCCAATCAAGCTAAATGAACACTATTGTTACTAATGATTGAAAAAATAAACACCTTATTGATGATATCCAATTTTACAGAACTAACATATGTTTGGATCACCGGAAACTATGCATAACACTATAATAGTTTGTGCTTATAATTAAATTGTTCGATTTGTCGCTGTCACTTCACTGGATGCAATATAATCTCAACTTGTAAAGGTTATCTGTTGATGTGATACCAATGTGACAAGTCAATAAATATTAGACTACTTTTTTTAAAAATAGAATTTGAGGTCTCCTGTACTTTTATTTCCGGTTTTGATCAAAGGGCTTTCGATAGCTTAGCTTTTCACATCTTTCTGGTTATACTTTTTATTAGATTTGGAGTCAAAAAAGGTCAAGAAACATTAGAGAGTATCACGCCAAAACTATCTGAGCCGATTGCATAGTTTAGTGAGTTAGGAATAATAATTCCAGGCTTATATTTGCAAGCTAATCTTGTTTAAATGAAAGACTTGTCAGTTTTGAATCATTTTATAATTCATTGTGAGGTTTTCCTCAAACCTCCAGATCAATACATAACCTTTCTCGCTACTTCAAGTCCCAAAAATTTTTATGAAACAATTTTTTTCGATTTATCTATGGAGTTCCATGTATGTCAAACAGCTACATATGTAAACGTACGAGTTAAGTGAGTGATTTTGTTGAAAAGAAAAATTTATTCGTATGATACGATAACCCTGGTTAGATAATTTTCGTTTGAACAAAATCTTTGTTATAAGATTAACTGAAAGTTTTTTATGTCACACAAGCATAACGTGCACAACACATGTAAATAAAATCAGATTGGATTTTTTTCAAATTTTTATAGTGTATGAGAATTAATCTTCTTAATTGTATTACCACGTCTAAAATAATTTTTTCATCTTTGACTTTCATGTCTTGAATCGATTATACGATTTTTTATTAATCCATTAGTCTATGACCCAACAGAAATCGAATAATGACATGAACTTTTCAGTAAAACGAATAAAATTTCTAGTTCTAAATTCAACCAAAACCTCATGCATACTAAACAAGTATAAAACCCTACATTTATATCTTCTACTATAGATGACAGGATACATTGTGAGTTTTGGAATTCATTTGGATGATCATTGAAAACTATGAACAACTAAACAGCTTTTGTTTTATAATTTAAATCTTTTAAACTTGATGTAAGTACGATTTCATGAATGATCCAACTCAATAATTGTTTATCATTGTGTTAGTCACGTTGCTCGCAGCTAAGTAAATCGAAGTCAAATGGTTTACATTTTCAAATTAAATCAGTTCATGACATGGAGCAACAGATATCTAGTGTAACTAACAGTTTCTAATTTTTTACATGACTGAGTTATATCACTCCCTGGAATTTCTAGAACTGACCTAGAAATAAGTCACAAGTGAACACAACACTAATTTTATTTGGTTAGTGAAATAGATATCTCCACTTAGACTGAATAACTGCCGTAATATGTCACTTAATTTGTAATCAGGTGTTTGAATGCAACATACTTAGCAAGAGAATTAAAATGCCATAATTAGAACGATATATGAAGTAGTATAATAGATTCATTGGTTATGAAATATGAAATATGTCGACTGAGACAATGATTTGATTGACATTTTCTTACTCAAATAAATAGGAGTTTTTCTTAAGATAAAGAATTCCTTTAAGTAAAAAATTAGATTTTCGTCATTTAGTAATCAACTTCAATCAGAAAACTTTCGTGCGGTAGTGAAAACAACTCCCGGCTAGAATGGTTTTACATGGACTTCAGAAAAACCCTTTCGATTTTCTATGGTTATTTTAAATAAAAGAAATACTTCTTGACATTAAGCTTAACATACCAATATTTCTTCAAATGTGAACAAATGAACCTTGTTTGACAATTCTTTTTTAATAGATTCAAAAGTGCTATCTGGCTTCATAATAATAAATACTTCCACTTTTTCTGAATTGATTTTGTATAAATGACAGGCTTGGGATACTGTATCACAGACAATAATTTTTAGTTCAGCTAAATTAAAATTTGGAAAAAAGCTTAAATTTAGCATACTAATAAATGAGACGATCAATCAGTGATACAAGAGAAATTGTAAAATAAATAAAGCTCAACTTGAAACCGATAACATTTGTATTATGTAATGTTAAGTTGTGCGACTAGTAATGAAAACCAATTTCCATTTATATATATATATATTTGAAGAAGGCACTGATGAGTTCTAGAACGGAAAGAAATGGCACGAAATCAGACAGCGCCAGCAAAATGTATATGTGTCCACAAATTTATCTCTTTTTAAAACATGTAAGTGTTAAATGCATAAATTCATAGTAAATTTGTTAAACCTGTGCTATTTTACTTGACTGGAGAGAACATTCAAAGCAATCAAATGCCACTCCTTCAGTAGTAGTTCACTATATTAAATTAATCGACAGATTTTGCACTCTTCACAGAATATGCACTTACAACACTATGAATAATTGTTTCTTTTTCGAATAAAACATTTTTGTTTGAATTAATCGACTTTTGTATTATTGGATAATTTTTCTTTAAAACTTGAGGGTTTGATGTAGTAATGTAAGTGAAATCGACTGGTGTCAGTACATGTTTTACACCATAGATGTTTGTAACAACATTAACTCAATTAGTAGTTGGGTATCCAACCCATAAGTTCTTGGAGACCAAAAAACGAAGTCCTAGTTCGAACGAAGTTCGTTCTAGCTTATTTATTCAGGAGGTGGATCATAACTTCTTTTGTAAGGATTTTTACTGTGTCTTTAGAGATCTTTACTGGTATTATCTCACTGTTGTCTAGTTTATTTTCTATTCTCTTTCCACATAAAAAACTGAAATCTACAATCAAACAACATAAGTATATGGTAAAATAAATGGTATTTTATTATGGGTAACAGTGAGACCTAAGGCATATTTTATTTTATTTGTGACTTATACCGTAAGTCTATTTACATAACAAGTGTTTGTGAATTCGCTGAAACCAAAGGTCACTTTAATGAAAATATTTTTCAACAACATCCTTGGAGAATTTCAAAATCGATATCCTTAATATCACTCAAAAATAATTCTGTATCACCGCAGCATTCAGAGGGATTTCTATTTAAGTAATAATAAATCCCGTCACTAGGTTAGTTGCTGACTTGGGCACTTCTTTGGCTCGAAGTTTTACCATTGAAAGAATTTAGCCTTAGTGTTGATTTTAACTATTCAAATGAACAGAAATTCTGAATGAAGCCATTTATCCATACGAGGTTTACAATCATACAGTCTCCTCTACAGCTAAACTTCTCGAGTAGTAACAATGATAATAAAACCACTTATTTGTACAAACTAATGAGTCGGTAAGTTTTATTTTATAGACGTGAGAGTTAAAGATATCTAAAAAAATTATTTACTTTGTGGTCTATCAATTTCAATCAATGGGTACCTGAATACATTTGATAAGAAACTCCGGCGAGTTGATGATTGACCCACTGCTTACTGAGTGTTTTTTTTTTAAATAGATGTTTTCATACCTAGTCAAGTAGCTTCAACGATGTTAGAATAATAAACAGTAATAATACTATATATGATCTCATTGTCTGCCTACATTTGTTTATGTTTTATTTTGAAGGCGATACTACTGTTTTTTTTTCGAACAAGTTCTAATATTTCGACTAATAATATTTGATGTATATACGCCGCAAAACATTAAATCTTTTATGAAATTTGTGAATCGCTTCTAAGAGATTCGTTCAATGTTAATTTATGTGTATGGATATGTAACAATTATAAAGAAAAACATATTTTTACGGGTGACAAAGTAATCTAATTGTAATTTGTGTTGATGAAGACACTGAACGCGTGAAGTACCTCGTACTTTCTTATCATCAATTTAATTTCTGGATGATCACTGATTAATTAAACCTCAGTAAATGGTTCGTAAACAAAATTCTCGTACCAGGATAATGCGCTAGACTACAAATCGTGAGACGAGCCAGCTGAAGTGTCTGACATCCTGATACGTCTAGTCCAGTAAGAATGAATAACAGAATAAGTGTGTTCACAAATGTTGGAGAAGGCAGTGCGAAGATTTTAGGAGTGAAGTTTATAAAATTTAGTTCTAATGATTTCAGTTACAGTATCTATTGAGCAGACGATATTTCTTTTTTCAACCATCTAAAAATAATGACCTTCCTTAAGGAAAGCAGTCACGTAAAGTTGTGATTTATTGATTTGAATCTTTTATTAATTTATCCTTAAGACTTCCTGTTTAGGAATTTCCTTTTTGACTCTAGGATACATTAAATGTGCCAAAGCTAATTTCAAAACATACTTACTTTCATTACTAACATGAACTATAGCTTCATCACCAAACGTACAGTACAACGGCACTATAACAAACGAGTATGCAGCAGAGGCTAACTGCGTTATAACCCACTAAAATACAAAGAATAAAGGAACTCTATATGATGCGTTTTCATTTACAGTATTAAGTAAGGTGATATGAAAATCAATCGAAATTTGTTTCAGGTTCAATATTTCACATAGTTAATAGAACTTCTATTGATTATCTTATTTAACAGGCAATAAAGGCTTTTCACAAAGCAGCTGTCCTCGTAAATTGTAGACTAAAAATAAATGGATGAAACACCTCTTTAGACAGCAACATATTGACATGTATTTTTGCGGTATCAGACTACTAATTACAAACAATCAAAGTTTTCCCATCTACAGAACGATAATTTGCAATGAGATCCTTGTATCCCTAACCATTAAACAAATCAAGAGACATAAAACACCAATCGGAATTACGTTAACACCAGAAACCGTGTGTCAACTCTAAATCCTTATTGGTCCAAAAATCGATAGCTTCTTTATCCCTGCCCCGCTCCTCAGTCCAGAGGCCGTAGCAAGCCTATATTTCAAGCAGACAGGTTGATACCAACGTATTAGACCGCATCACACCGTAAGATGAGGAAATACACTCATACATGAGCGAGCCAAAAGTGGCTGTGAATAGTGAATACCATGAATGATACACAAGTGATAAACTATGTTTTCACACAACAGTAGTTAATGCGTTAATCAGAGGATCACAATAGAAGGAATATACATAATCTAGTTCCTGAATAATTATACAATTAGAGTATAAACAATAATAATAATTAATTCAGTTGTATCAGTTACTGTTCCTCTAATTTTCTTCCTGATAGAATTAAATAATCTAAAATACCGTATTACGGTTCATGTAATAGATTGGAGTGCATAGTTATGTACATTTTGGAGAAACGAAATGTCTAGTATTTCAACAGTTACGTTTCATATAATTTATGAAACCTAGAAAAAAGTACTTGAATATAAATGTATGAAGTAAGATTTATTTTAGAAAGAAAAATAATGTTTAGAATAAGAAATAAATGACCATTTAGCAGTAGTTGTAAATTATAACTCTATATCCATAGAAAATGAACTTTGATCATGTAAAACTTTCATAAGGAAGTCCAAAAATATTTTCGGATCGTGTGACTAGAACTTTCATTAACAAATATTCTCATAGAAATGTATCATCCACGCACATAATTTTAACTATCATTCAGATGACAGAAAATTATAAATACTTTGATCTGAATATTTTAATTTAGCAATGAAATAGTTTTCCATAAATGCCTTATCACTAACCGGGCTCAATGAGTTGATTGTCTACAAAAGCAGCATTTGAACTATGAGAATGCTATCATTTGTACTAAAATTAAAATTAACTACTTTGCAAACAGAAATGAAACTATGTACCATCACATAGTTCTAATATAACAAATATCTTTCATAGTTGTGAATTATCTAAACAACTGAGATTTTCAGGACATTTTTCAATGTAGATAAGCTTACAAATAGGAATATCATGAATTTACTTTAACTTGGTACATTACCGCATCTCATAAACATGATCGATATTCCATCCGACATTTGAAGCCACCAGACCCCATTAAATCATGCTTTTTCTTCCCAAGATACTAATATTTGAAAATATTTTAATCATTATCACACTAGTTTTGAATGTGTTATCGCAACTTGGTTGTCTAGTAAACTAAATCATTTCTAATACGGATAGAATGACTAACAGTCAATCAGTTAACTTCAACGTAGGACTTCGCACAAATGTGTGTTAAACGAGGTAACTACATCTTATATCAACACTATGAGTTTATTCTCTATTAATCTACAGATAGCTTTTAAATCTGTACTAAAATCTATGTCTTCTGATGTCAATAATACGAAGAATGCAATTTGATGTTCCTGATCCATATGATTTACAGTGTATAATCCTCACAACATGACTTACAGTTACATCTTTTAGTTACAAAATTGAAAATTTCTATTTTTTCTACTGTTGTCATTAGTTAGCTTTGTTTATGGCCCCAAAACTTAAGTGTTTAGTGCAGTGAAATTATTAATTCATTTAGTTTAGTTTGTAAATATCGTTCAAATCCTTTTTAAATATTGGATTACTTTGAACCGGCCAACATATAAAACAGTAATCTGACTAAACTGAAATTTTAAACGAAAGATGATCTTTGTGATAAGTAATATCGTTTACTATCTCAATTAGTTTGCTGAGACAACACGTTTTGTACTATTCTGCATTAGTGATATTATAGATGAGCGTCAGATTTTGATTGAATTATAGCTTTTCAGCGAAATCCTAATACCATGTCACTTCAGACAGAAGACAATGAAACTTCACTTTCGACATATTAGGTTTCAAAGCCAACGATGTTGCTGTCCATCGATACCCTATGTTTTGTGGAAAAGTGAATAGGCTTTCAGACTAATTGTCAAACAGTAATATTTTCCAAAAGTTTTATGCTTTAAATGATGTCTTGGCCTTTGGACGTATCGATACCTATTAGTTTGGTTGGAAAGTCCAAACAGTTTCATACATATTTACTTTTGGCACCCATTTTGAAGACATGACATTTCCTCCCATTAATAAGACATAGATTTTATCAGGTGTATAGTGGTTAGTTAGCTGTCGTGTAGTCCAGTGAAAACCTACCTCTGGAGAATTCCTTCCATAAATTCCAATAAAATTACTCATGGAGTTTTCTTTCATCAATATTGTTACTGCTGATCCGAACAGCTGAATTTTTTCATAAACCTGAATATTTTGTTAGTAAAATTAAACTTCCTTTATAATAATATATTTACCTCTTTATAAGTAATCCATTTAATTGGTGAATTGAATGACTGGCGAATTCCAAAACATGATTTATCTTCTAAATAAGATCAATACAATTCACATTTAATAATAGGTAATTTCAAGAAATATCGTTATTTTGAAATTATGCCTATTATTTCAACTTGAAGTAAAATAACAGTTTACTTTCAACGAAGAAAGAAATTGTTTCTATCTTTATGACAAATAATACACACTTATAAATGGAAACTTAAAGAAAGTATTACATAATACGGTAGGAATGAAGATTCAGTTTTAACTATATATATTTTTATTTGACACAAAATATAAATCACTTTATGTATTTATTGTTACTTTAATGTGTCGAACACTTTTTAAATATCCTAGCTTCGAAGGTTTTTTTCACGAATTACTTAACTATATCAGGAGCAGTAATAATCGAATGGCATTCTACAAAACATAACATTCAGCTATCCATAAACTGATCTTTTATTTATCTTGATTTATGTTGAGTTCTGATTATCTGCAAACTTCTGACAAAAGAAACATTTTAAGGTGAAGTATTGAGAAAAGTTTCTTTTTTTAAAGCTATAATGTCAGAAATCTGTTTCAAAATTCAGCCCGGTAACTAATGTTATTATCCAAACATTGATGCAAGAAATGGTATTGATGTGTTATGCATAGGATGTAATTTGTTCACGTAAGTGTTTAAAGGGTTTCAAGATAAAATTTGAATTTCATTCTCTGAATAAAGTTCAGAACAAAAGCAGTCAGCGATTATACGGTTAAACCAGTTGTAACAAAAATATGCGGTGAAGATATCTCTTTGTAAGAATAAATACAAACTTCAGAGCTGATTTATCAGCTTGTTGTAACAATGCCATTGTTCAAAATTGTACATACACCCAACTATACGTCATTTTTTAAGTCAAAGGAAACTAATCCTAGTATTATACAACAGAAAACTCCTTGTAATATAAAAATGAATATTATCTGATGTCCTTCATTTCTATGAAGAAATGACAACTAAGAGCTCTGTCTCAACTGTAAGCAAACTCAATCGTTTACATTTCCGGAACATCATATTTAAAAAAAACTGTTTTATGAAAGAATCCTTAATTACTTTTTCTAAACTCCAAAATTTAAGGATAAAGGTTTTTACATCAGTGGCATTATATCTTGAACGCTAGTCAGATTTTTAATATTATTCGATAAACACTAAAGACAAACCCGATTAATAAGTGATGAAAAATGTTAGACAGGAATCTCCAAACATAAAAATCATATCTTTCATACTTTAAATACTTTTTAGACAAACAAAAGGAATAACCATAAACAAGTAATTCTTGGTCGGGTTTTATTTTATTGAACATGTGGATAATCGAGTTAAGGCAGTTATTTTACTATTCAGGGAGTAATTTACTTCATATTAGAGGAATCATTAGGAACCCATCACATTCACTCAAATCTTAAATAATTTCTACCTGATATCATTTTCAAACAGGTATTTTGTCAGTATATCACAATATTGCAATGTTCTCTACGAAAATCAAAATCTTGTTCAGGTAAATTATTTTGCAATCTGATACTAGTGATTCGGATTTGTTTACAGTTGGTGAGCATTTTAGGACATAAGCTGGGTCAAATTAACACTAAGTTTCATCACCCAACAAAGTTGTTATAACATTTTCTAGACCTGCCATTACATAAAAAATCATATTCGAGTAGATTCAACACTGGTTATCAACAAATACATAATCATACATAGACATTGTTTGTGTGAGCGAGGTGCAGCGAAAAATTTGACTGAAGTTACTTGGGGCTAATCACAATATTTCGAGGGCTTGTAAGTATTACATGTGCCATGTTAAAAAAATTATATGGAAGATCAATGGCTGATACTAGACATAAAAGGGAAATGACCGTTCGAATAAGCATATACGTATTAACCCACTAACCCCAGTTACCCCAGATAGAGCGTAGGCGCATGACCATCATTCTCAGACGACCCAACTCGGTCCGGCGCTCGCCTTCCCAGTACTAACCGATTCCGATTCGTTCTGTTCACGTCTGTCTCCAAATGTCACCTTCATGTTTTCTTCGGTCTGCCACTTTCTCTTTGAGATTAAGGATACCAAGTTGGAGCCCACCTCAAAACGCAGTCACGTGCTTTCCTGAATGTCCGTACTACCCACCTCCAGTGCTTATTCCTAATCTCTTCATCTGCTGGAATCTAGCTTGTTCTCTCCCACAGTGGGTTTTTGCTGATGGTGTCTGGCCAGCAAATGCGAAGTATCTTGCGTAGAACACTGTTTATGAGTACCTGTAATCTGTTGGATGATGATTTTCTCAGTTCTCCAAGTTTCCATTCGGAACAATGGGACTGTCTTGACGTTTGTGTTGCAAAGTGTGACTTTGCTGATGGTTGATAGTTGTTTTGAGTTCCAGATGTTCTTCAGTTGCAGAAATACTGCCCTTGCTTTGCCAATCTGTGCATTCGCATCTGCGTCAGATCCACCTTGTTTATCAGTGATGCTGCCCATGAATGTAAACGTTTCTACACCTTCCAAAGCTTCTACATCAAGTGTGATGCTGTTGGTGTATGTTGTGTTGTAACTAGGGATCTTACTTTCTCCCTCGTGTATGTTCGAGTCTCTTGCTACAAAGGCTGCAGCTACACTGGTTATCTTCACCTGCATTTGTTGTTGTATGTGGGATAGAAGAGCCAGATCATCTGCGAAATGTAGATCGTCCAGCTGCATCCTATCTGTCCACTGTACCCTCACGCTAACGTGTTCATAATCCAGTTGATCACCAAGAAAAGGAGAAAGGGTGGGTGTAAGCAACCTAGTCTGACACTTGTCTTCAGTTGGAATGAGTCTGTGTGTTTCCCTGCATGCACGATTTCGCAGTTTAGTCCATCATCAGAGTTCCGTATGATGTTGAACATCTTCTCATCCATAATGTCATCCTCTCGACGCTGTCAAACGCCTTGTCGTAGTCAAGGGAGTTGATATATAGTGGTGATTTCCAATCAACTGATTGTTTCACAATGTTTCTCAGTTTCGCGATTCAGTCTGCACTCGATCGGTCCTGATGGAATCCAAAAGCTGGGACAAGGCCTGTCGGCTCGACGTATTTGTACACACTACACTATTGAAAACTCTTGTTGGTATTGATGGTAGAGCAACGTTTCTGTAGTTATCGCATTTGCTGAGATCTCCTTTCTTTTAGGTCTTGATCAAATGTTCTTCCTTCCAGTCTATCGGTACTTGTTCTCCCTCCCAAATCTTGCTGAACAGAGCGTAGATTATATTTGCATTTACCGCTATGTCTGCTTTCAATGCCGTAGCTTTTATGTTGCCTGATCCTGCTGCTTTGCCACTGTTGATGAGCCTGAGGGTCATGCTGATTTCTTGAATTGTTAGTGGGTCAACATCGATGAGAGGTTTGTTGTTGCTGCTTCGATTCTTGATGGGTTCATTGAGCCTGGTCTATTCAGGAGCTGTTCCAATCGCTCCACCAACTTGTTTCGCTGTTCTTGAATGTCGGTGATTGCTATCCTCCCTTGTACTTGATTGATCGTTGTGGTTTATCATACTTTCCAGTGAGCTTCTTTATCGTATTGTATACTTATCCCATGCTTTCTTGTTTGTACCATTTTAGGTAGCTTCATTGCATCTCTCTTGAAGCTACTCTCTTTTGTCCAACCTTTATACAATGGGTTTCGCTAATGACAAGCGCCATCTGATTGCAATTTTCAATCAACGCCGCAAATTGAAAAGTTCTTCTGGTCTATAATACTGTACTAATATTCTATATTCCTTGATTATTTGTTGCTTTGTTTATCATCGGCCTCATGACTTCCGAAGATACTCGAATTTCCCCACGAGGTGTCATAAGTATTTTAAATGTATGTAGTTTAAATGGTTTGAATTGTTTTTTCTCGTTGATATTTCTTCCGAAAGTTTGTTTTCTGCGAGATGGTGTTTCTAACAGTAAAAGTTATTCACTTAGTTTGTGTAAGAAATTACTTGGAGGAATTTTTTATGAACACACATTCAATATAACTTAAAAATGATCTTATCTAATTTTAAACTATTTATCAAGAAAAATAACCGAATAAACACACTTTTTACTCACTTGATTTTCTTAATCCGCTTTTAAAAGCATCGAATGGAGAATTTAGTTTCTCAACTTCAGAGACAGAGAGTTTTCTAACCGATGCTCTTAATCCCGTCTGAAACAAAATTGAAATAATATAACGACTTTTAATGGTGTACTACCGTTTGTAGTGTTAAACTTGTTACGTTCCTCGCTAGCACATCCAAATCAGCATACAAAAGGTGTCAAATTAGTAATTCTTAATTATTGTTTCAATGAATAATCTAAGTACCATGAAACTGATTCTGAGTATATTTACCTCCAAAGATTACGTAAAAAACGTTGAGAACATATTGTATGAATAAAAAATAAAGATGACATACAGGTTTTTATTCTACAAAAATGAGCTGACAAAAATATTCAAACGGATGTCGATAGTTTCATTTCAAAGATAACACGAATACATATAGATTGGGACTATTATATTAGTTTCACGTTCTCAACTGACTACTTTCAAATTAGGTACCCTGCCCAGAGTAGTTTTATATTTTTGTTAAAACTAACAAAGATTTGATAAACCTTGATGTAAGTCGAAGCAGAGTCTTAAATTGGGCACTATACACTAGTTTTTAAGATTTATAACGGTTTTTACCTCTCTAGTATGACATCATAAAACATAATTCATACCCGAAGTTTTCGATGGAAACAAACTTTTGAAGAAGTTGATGAACAATGCAGTCACCATATATTTAAAAACATCCAGATAATTTTATAAGTTAATTTTGATTAACTTAATTTAACGCCAGTTATCTCTGGTAAACGAAGTGAATCCTAAATACTCGAGTTATTCATTTTCTAATCTGAATTTATTTAATGAATTTTCGTTAATTTACCATCTGTCAGTTAGAAAACTGAACTTACAATTACAATACTTTGACATAAGCAGAATGACTTGCCATAAGCAAGCAAAACCCACCAGATATTAATATCTTGCTGAGATTGTGTTGTGAGGGTATCTGGATTAAATCATTGTAACGAATTAGGTTTCAAGAAACCTAAATAATTTCTAAGAAATATATTGATATTATATTTATAACTATTTCCTAATTTCAAGGGCTCTGTCTTAACAAGAATGACTTTCTTTATTGAGACAATGAAACCATTTCTTATTTTACTCGTTTTAAGACTAACGACCAAAGAATGCTAGACTGACTACAGTAGTTGTGTATATTGCGACGTATGGAGTCATTAGCAAATGAGAAGTATTTTTTCATATCAAGATTTCATGTGATAAATAAATGCAATTTACTACACTTGGAAAACGCTTGCCAATATAACAACCGATCAGTCAAGAAAAACCGGGAATATTTTTGACGTGATAAAAATAAACATGTTCGCCAACGGTTATATCGTTTGTTTAAATCAGTCGGAATTCAAAACTTTAAGGCTTAAATTTCTGCAACACTAAAACTATAAACAAACTGTGAGAAACTGCTTGAATTGTATGTCCACGATTTTATTCGAGCATCGCATTCTAATCAGAAACTTATGAAGTTTTTTGGCTAAATGTTTTTGATAAAAAGCAATAAGTTCCTACCCATTCCTGTGGTATGCACATTTTGTGTTAATGATTGGATTTAAACTTTTTTCAGCAATTAAAAGTTGAAAGTACCACTGCAAATCGTGGCAACAGCATCTAAATTCAGGTAGTAATTAATTTTTTCATCAAATTTTGCTTTTTAATTTATCGAACCTGTTGTATAAGTTCACCAGTTTTCTTTCAAAGATGTAGTAACTTTAAAAATATCCACAAAACAGCACTAGTGTAATAAGCGAGTTCATCTGTTTCGACAAAGTGAAACATTTCTAATATTCTTAGATTCATATTATTCTCAAATGAAAATTTGGTTTATGTAAAAACTCATAGGCAGCATGATAAATATACATGCATCTTAGAATAAAAAAATATGTACTTACCTTCTCATCAATTATCACAGACTGATTATCAGTAAACCGAATTCGCTCTACTTCCAGTCGTCCCAAATACCGAGTGGTAGTAGTATATAGTATGAATATCAGCAGTACTGTGAGTAGCAAAGGAGATAGTGACAACGAAGATGCATCTATCCAATCCATATTAAAATAGCTTTCTGTGTATGCTAGAAAAGTACATGAAATTTTTTAGAACAGCTACTGTTGGTTTATTTGTTTCAACGTTTTACTCACTTGTAACAGAGACTGGAATCACACTACAATAGTTTACTTCGTTGTTATATATTACTTTATTAGGGTTTGGATGACTATTAAAAACAAAACTCTAGTAGTTACATCTAACTAATGACGGCTGCGTAGTTGGTCTTTTGGATCAACATGCGTATTCAAGTAAATACAATATTTTAGTTACACTACTGTTTACAGCTCCACGCCAAAGATGGGATATCTCGGATGCGCATCAAGTCTCAAAGTAAACCGTCTCGGTACTATGTACAGAATGACATAGCCCGATAAAATTTGACAGATCTGCACATTTCTTGATTTTTAGATACCCCGTAGAAAGACCTATCTTGGTTTTTTATTTTCTGTTGTTCTCAGGGCCAGAAGTCTGTTAAACAATACATTTAACTCTGAGCAAACAAGAATTTTACAAGGAAATCCTCTTTCTAGGTTGTTAGCTGGAAAGCAGTCAAAGTTCGATGGAGGATATTATATGCTGATATTTAGATAATTACTTCTAGTTAAGTACTGTGGAAAACAATTAGTAGTTAATCTTAGTAAAGCTATCACTTTCATTTAACGATCGACTCTGCCTTCATTATTTCACTTAAAAAGCTTTATATATTAAAATGATCGCAAATAACGTGCGATTTACATCTGAGCGTAAGTATTTCGTATTTTTGACTGATATTCAAAGTTTTTTCATATATTAATTGGCAGCTCTGAACTATAGCTTGACTACTTGTCTAATTTGAAGTAAGAAACCAAGCAAACAAACTATAATCGCTTGTTGTATGATATGTTTTACTCTCAGCAGGCTATGGGGCGTATGAAACCTCTGCAAGGACAGTAAAATTATGCTGTGAACCATATTCCAAGGATAAGAGGAAAAGAGTAACTTAGATAAAACTCATTCATGAAGCTACATAAAAACACACCGTTTAGTGAGTCCATACCGAGGTAACGGTTGCTAGAGTTTCTAATACCTCAAAACTAATAAGAAAATTTGACTCAAAATAACCAGCCACATAACATAAAGCACAACACAACCTACACAAGAAAACTATTCATTTAGGACCACTTCGAATAGATGCTTGAATTTACCCTCAACTCAGAGAATATTTTTAGGTTAAGAATAAAGCTATTTACATGCTGTATGCTTTGAACCAAGGTCTGTCATACATATGAAACTTAGAGTCCTCCAAATAAGATAAGTTTCATAACTAACATTTAGACAAAATTCTACAAGAAATAACTAGAATGACTATGAATATATAATTATTAGTCAGCCGGTGGCAATGGTGTTTCACAGTGATATACATTCTCAATTTATTGATTTTCAAATGACATAAGGAGCGTAGATCACACATATATACGAAATTTTGATTGCCAATCAAACCTTTGAAGTACTGAGTCAAGCAATTATATAATGTTATTTTCGTTGAATATACTGGAAAACGAGGAAAAATAATTATAATATCTATTTCACAGATTCCATGAACTAATTGACTTTAAAAATATATAATTCACCAATTCTTCTAGACTTTATTGTTCAAAAGTTTACGAATTATCCTGATAGCATAATTTTAAGTTCATATATGATGTGAACAAACAGCAAGCGATAGAGCACGGTAACAGGTGCAGAAATTAAAATGCAAGCACTTAAGTAAGCAAACAAATATACTTTTAAGTATAGAATCGCTTCAAATACGTAAACTATATTTTACCCGAACTAGTATAAACCAGTCGATTTCTTTGCTTTCCATTCTTTTTCTTTCATTACGGTTGCACGTATTCGGTTGTGTCCAATGCTTAGTGGACTAACCTCTCGACGGTCTAATTCTAGTCAGTTGGTAGTTTGGTGTGAGTTTGTATGTCCCGTGATTTGAATGAACACGTTTTTTCAGTGCAGTAGGGTTTCCGGATACCAGAAGCTATCACATTACCAGACCAGAGATCAGTTAGTTGCAATATCGAGAATAATAAGGAGAAAATTCTTATTCTATACAATGGATAATTTAGTTTACTAATTGGTAGTGAAGCATAGGAGAGGAGAGAGATAAAATAGGCGAGATAGATTAGGTTGTTGATCGGAGGAGATGGCAATCATAACGACTCACAAGTCCCAAGGAATGCATCATATACAGATTGTTACCTCGGCTAGGAGAGCGTTCCAAGTTGCAACGACTCTTAACGAGAAAAAGTGTGCACGTACGTTTGGATTGTTGGGCATGCTTATTATGTTGCACGCCATCATCAGATCACCTCTGAATCCTCTGTAACTCAGGGAGAACAACACCGATCGTAAATTTCATTTTTCAACCCTACCACTCATTTCGTTGCTCATCTCTGTACTCGATCGGAGAGATTTATGTCTCTTTAAGGAGAGGCGATGTGACGAAGTTGTGAACCTCAAGATGGGGGTGTGCACTTGTCTTAAACAACGTTAAGAATAATTCTGGGGTGAGAGCACCAAGTTTTCTCCGCATACATTGAAGAGATCCATTTGCAATGGTTGCATCCCCAATGTAGTTCCAAATGATGTGAAGGCTTTCCGAGGTTGTTCTGCCAAGGTCGCGCTCTGAGTAAACATTAGGGAGTGGACTTTGATTGAGGGCGTAAATCGTTTGCGTCATGTAGGGCAGAATATCCATGGCTTGACATTTCGGCTGGTTGAGTTTAAACCGTTTTTCTCTGCTCATTCGTCAACTGATGTAAGGTCTTTTTGAACCCTCTTCGCTTCGAATGAACTTTCAGATCTTTTCACCGTTCACGTAGATCGATGGAGGTTGTTCAGCTGTCTTACCCTACCTTTCTCAAAGTCGTGTTTCAGCTTCATAGAGGATTTCGTTCTTATCCACCTACTCCCTCATTTGGTCATTCACTAGCTCCTTCATTACCTTCTATATTATTGTTATTGATGCGACCAGAAAGAGACCATGGGGTGAATATTGTCACATCCTGACGTTTCTGGGCGCTAGGATTTTAGTTTACTAAATAATAAGTCAGCAGTAAGTGGAATATTCCCTAGGCCTTCAGTTGGTGCTAGGTTTCAGTAGGTACTTGGTGTGCGGATCTCTGAAGTTGATGTTAAAGGTCATAAACATTTCTAGGTGGTGATATCTTCACAATTTAAACCTTCAGGGGCGCAGACACCTGGTTCGTAGGTTTTTTCACGGACCTAAACAGATACTTTGGGTCTGCGTATACTTTAGCATCTGGCTTCATTTGGAAGTGTCGCTTGTCACTTCAAACATTGGCATTGCATCTGTATCTCAATGCCAAGTAAGAACTATGGTCGGAATCCTTCAAAGATACCCACTTGTACTAGGCTCGCCTTTTCATCCTAAGCAAGCGTTCAATTTCTCGCCTAGTCCGAATCCTCTTTTCGGAGATGTGGTGTGCCGAAGGCACATTGTTTGGGACAGCATTCTGGACGATTTCTTCCACTGTTTGTTAGTGATCATCTACTGGTAGCCCCCACTATTCCCATGGCCATAGGTGATGTGGAAGATTGAAACTCATGCGCGTGTAAATCGCCCTAGTGTACCAAAAGTAGGGCTAGTTTAACCCCGCCTGAGTGTTTTGTTCATTATCATGTGAAAAATGACTCCATTGTCACTACTTCTAACTGGTGTATGGGCGTGACCATCCTCAACCAAGAGCTGAAAATTTGTTGGCAAATGATCCAAGTTTGAGAATTTTCCATCCTTAGTCCATCTAGTGACGCTCCTTACATGCTCAGCCAGCCCAGATGTTTTGACAACTGAGCCAAGTTGTCTTTGGATCCAACCAGTAAGAGTTGCACTCTGATAACTGAGATTTGGAGAAGGGGTGTTGAAATCCCCGGAAAAGAGTATTTGATCAAAGCCAAGTAGTGGTATTTGCAGTCCAGTAATGTGTTCCCTATGGAAACGACACCAACGTGATTCTGTCACCCCAGTTAGTTGAGTGTCGTATAGCCTCTCGGCTTTTTAGTGGCTGTTTGTATATTTAGGCATAACGCCTAGTGTTAGGTGTACCCTATCGCTTCGGAAGTATGTCTTGCCGTGCTAGCTCACTTCGCAGTCTGTAATTTCAGGGGAGAGCCATGTTTCATTTAGATCTATCCGAGAGCACATGTTCTTACTTACTCCGTAGTCTTCTTATGTTGCTAGTGAGGCACTTGTTGGTTTGTCTTGTCACTGTGCAGCAACAACCGTTGTTGGATTTTCAAACAAGTTCTTACTGAGTTGTCGTGTTCTGTGTGCGCTTATAATTGCCTCCATGTTGTTGTCTCACAGATCTAGGTTGGCTCCCTCAACATCTAATAAGAGATCGATGCTCATTCTGTACGAAGCCTGAAGAGCTTCAGTTAGGTCCTCCTGATTCTTGGATTCCATAGCCTTCAGACGTGAAGACTTAACAGTCATGATGTGTGATGAACGAGGTTGCCGGGAAATGCTAGTTGTCATGATGGCATGAAGGGTCAGGCTACACGATCGCCTTCGCCACTGTTACACGCTATGCGCGTGAGCTTCGTTAAAGCTACCACCAACCAGTACGGGCCCGCCATGAACTACCATACTGTTTCGCTGTCGTGTGCTCCGTAATGCACTTGATGCTGCTCGTAATGGTCACGGTTTGTCGCAGCTGACTCGGCTCAAGGAGGAAAGTTTAAACGCGGGTCTCTGGGATGTGTGGAGAATTTCTTCGGAAACTTGTGCCCAGTCTAAAGTTATTCTAAATGGGGAGGATTTCTTCTTAGCGACAGTCAGACCCTTCCGAGCCTTCATATTCCTTAGAATGCGCAGTACTTGTCCCAATGTTACTTATCAAAGGCAGCCCTACTTTCGTGTAAGCTATCCTCCGACACTGGAACATCAAGTAAAGTTAGTGACGTCAGTCTAACGTACCTATCTCTGATTGGTAACATTTTGAGA